CTCTTCTCTTCTCTTCTCTTCTCTTCTCTTCTCTCTCTCTTCTCTTCTCTCTCTGTCTCTCTGTCTCTCTCTCTCTCTCTCACACACACACACACACACACTTTGAACTGTACTATGATGTTGAGAATTCAGCCTCACACAAGAGTGCATTCTTCGAAATGGTGACATACTTTCTTTTCTTTTTTTATATGACTTTCTGTACTTAATGGGAGATCTTTCTTTTGTTTCCCATGAAAATGTTGATAAGAATCTTACTTTTGAGAATAAGAAATCAGCATCCATGAAGGAAGAGTTCCTGTTGAGGAATCCTTCACTGCCACCTGCTGGTCTAATCCTAGTATTGCAACCCACCAATTCTCCAGAATCAATAGAAGTATTTTAAAATAGAGGATTTTCTTAGTTTTACCTACACTTCTTGGCAGAGGTTGACAAGTGGAGGGGGAAAAAACACTTGAAAGGTTTTTATTACCAAATATTTGCCTTAATAATTGTGTTACTCTTGAAAGATTTGAAACCCTTTGTTAACTTTAACAACTGTTTTGCCATGCAGAGTGAAGAGTGACTTTTGAACAGTAGCATAATTAAGATGGGGGTAATTGTCCAGGGTTTTCAGTGTAGGGATAAAGCTATAGTAGAGCATGAATAAATACATCTCCCAGTCTTGGAGCTAATCCTGGTTAGCAAAATGGAACATAGTTATGGGGCCAGGGAAACCCAAGTTCAAGACTCCATTCAACCATGGACATTCATGGGAGTTTCTGGATGAGTCACACTCATTCAGACCAGCCTAAAATCAAAATTACGGTGGTTTGGTTGCAGTAATGACTGGTGTTTTGTGCATTTGGTCTTCTGGGCCAAGGTGCCGGTGTGCATCACTGTTGGTGAGTGATAATCTGGAACCTCGTGGCCTCCATGTTCAGAATTGAGGGAAGCTGATGTTTCTTTCACAGCTGAGTGTAAAGGGATTCCTACAGGTCCTCGATGGCTTGTGTTCAAGTCAGCTTCCTTTGCCTTGGAACTGATGGCATTCAGTATCCAGCCAAATTGTTTCAACATCCAGCCAGATTTCTTTTTTCTTTCTAATACCCCATTTTTGGTAAGAGTTCTAAAGAACTCAAAAACATACCCTCTTTTTTCTCATTGATTGGTCCCAATAAAGGTATTATTATTTTAGATAGAAGTGTATGTATATATGTGTGTGTGTTCCTATGCTTAACAACTCAGAGACCCAGGTCCAGGTTTACCCTTAGCCAGGGAAGTTCCCTGAATGGATTTTTCTTTCTTGATTCAACCAATTCATGTTGTAAAAAAATTAAAAACTGAAAGTGCTATGTATATCACCTTAGTGCTCTTGGAGGAAAGGGGAGATTTAAATCTAACTAATCAATAAGTGTACAGTGATGATTGCTTTAATTCACAATGATTCTGTTTCAAATCCATTCTCTCTCTTTCTCTCTCCCCTCTCCCACCCCCATGGCAGGTGTACCCATATGGGGAGCTCATAATTTCATTGGGCTTCTTCTTGGTGTTTTTTATCGAAAGTCTGGTGCTCCACTGTTGTCCCCAAGCTGTTCACTCCCACGGCAACCATGAAAATTACGAGGATCACAAGGAGCTGCCACCTTCTCACAGTTCCTTCCGGGCATTTATACTCTTCCTGTCACTGTCTTTTCATTCAGTCTTTGAAGGACTTGCCATTGGTGTGCAAAAGGAGACAATAGACACCATTCAACTTTGCGTGGCCGTGCTCATCCACAAAGCCATTGTGAGCTTCAGCTTGTCCTTGAAGCTGGTGCAGAGTAGCACCAAGTTCCAATGGAGGATGCTCTACGTGGTGGTCTTTGCTTTGATGTCTCCTACTGGTATCAGCGTGGGCATCGGTGTGTCTCTTTTCAATGGGGATGGGAGCGGTCTGGCTCAAGCAATCCTTGAAGGGGTGGCAGCAGGAACTTTCCTCTATGTCACGTTCCTGGAAATTCTTCCTTATGAGCTGGGTTCACATGAAAGCCCTCTCACCAAGTTCTTCTTCATCAGCCTAGGCTTCTCTATCATGGCTGTCATTGCCATTTGGGCATGAAGAGTTGCTCATGCTAAGGACCCCTGTCAGCCATCACTGATACACGGACCTGCTATTTTTGTCTTCTCTGGCGTTTTGTATTGTGTATGTTAATGTTGTATAAGCCATTATACTTGCCTCGACTGCCTTGACGAAAGCATAGGATGAAGAGAAGCCTATAACAGTCCTCCAGGGAAAAGGTGCAAGAGAAAACTAAGAGCTCCAGGTAAAAATTGTTGACTGTGACAAATAAAAACATTGAATGGACTCACTTTCACTTCTGGAGCTACTGGAAGGCTATAATTCAGTCTTCCCAATCAGCTGTTTTCCATAAAACTGAAGACTGTAGATTAGAACAAAGTGTTTGTTTTTTTAAAAAAAATGCATTATGGAAAAAGCAGAGGCGATTGCAGTGGAGGTCAATGATGAACGTGGAGTTGTGCTGTCTCAGGACCAGCTCCACCCTTTTCTACATGTGTCATGATGCTGCACGGATGTATGAAAGGGGCCCAGGTACTGCTTTCT